GGGGGCCTTGGGGAGGGGGATTGGAGGGTGCTGTGGGGCCCGTGGGGGATGAGGGTGCAATCAGGACACCGGGGCCGGTTTTGGGGGGCAGTGTGGGGACTGGTGGGAGGCTTGGGGATGCAATAGTCAGAGCACCGGAGGCATTCTGGGGCTGCGGTGGAGGCCGTGGAGGGGCCTTTGGGGGTAAAATAGGGAAGGTGTCAGAGCCAGCCTGGGGATGCAGTGGTGGCCATAGGGGTGCAGTGGGGAGGGCATCGGGCTCCGTTTGGGGATGCAGTGGGCCATGGATGGCTGGTGCAGAAGGATTGGGGGTGCGATGGGTATGGTGCTGAGTCCCATTTGGAGGATGCAGGGGGAGGAGAGTGGAGGGGTGCAGTGCCTGCTGGCTGCAGAAACTGGAGCCTCCCCACCCCAGCACTGCCCAGCACCCAGGAGGCTGCTGCCCTGCTCCCCCCAGGTCTGACCTGCGCCAGATGTTGGCCACCAAGAGTGTGGAGAACATCCAGTTCCTGCCCTTCCTCACCACTGATGCCAAGTACAGCGGGGTCGGGCCCTGAGGAGGGGGGTCACATACATTTGAGGGGCAGGGGGGATCCCACAGGTTGCAGCCAAGTGCTTGTGCCATGTCCCTGCAGCAACCTGAGCTGGTTGGGCTATGGGTGCCTGAAGGGGGACGGGACAGTGATCACCGTCAACGCCATCGGGGCAGTTCTGCAGACCCTCTACATCCTGGTGTATCTCTACTACAGCCCTGCCAAGGTGGGGCAGGGGCCTGGGGCGATGGGGAGGATGGGGGACCCTCACCCTGACATCTCCCTGCTGTCCCTCCCAGCGCCCTGTGGTGCTGCAGGTCCTGCTGCTCCTGGCTTTGGTAGTCACTGGCTATGGCTACTTCACCATCCTGGTTGACACAGGGACACGCCTGACACACCTGGGGCTCTTCTGCAGCATCTTCACCATCACCATGTACCTCTCACCGCTGGCTGACCTGGTGTGTGGGGCTCGGCAGAGCTGGGGCTTGCCAGCCCGGGCCCTGCCTGACATTTGCTCCTGCAGGCCAAGGTTGTCCGGAGCAAGTCGACGCGGTGCCTGTCCTTTCCCCTGACCGTCACCACCCTTGTGGCCTCCAGCAGCTGGACACTCTATGGCCTGCAGCTCCATGATCCCTACATCACAGTGGGTTGGGGTGGTGGAACACCAAGGGGTGTCATCCCATCCCACTCTATCCCATCTCATCATGTCCCATCCCCATCCCACCCTGGCCTGCTTCATCCACATTCCACCCTTCTCCATCCCATTCTGTTGTGTCCCCGTCCTGCCCCATTTCACCCCATCCCATTCCTATCTTACCCCACCCCATCTCATCCTATTCCATCCCCATCGCATTCCACTCCATCCTATCCAATTCCACCCCATTCCCCTCTCATGGCTCAGCTGAACACTTGGCTTAGGGCCGGCCCTGTTCAGCACCGCATGTGTCACCCAGCCAAGGGTGACAAGGCTCAGCATGATGACTATTGATTTTAATTAATTAGCTGGGATGGGGCCAATAAACCTCCCCCAGCACCACAGGGGGAGGGGTACATCCACCCTCCCCCCATGTCCTCCTGCAGGTCCCCAATGTGCCAGGGATCATCACCAGCCTCGTGCGGTTCTGGCTCTTCCAGCGGTACAGGCCAGAGCAGGACAAGCCCTACAGCCCCCTGCCTGCCTGAGAGGCCCCCTAAGGAGCACCCCAACTCTGGCCTGGGCTGGCCCCACCATTGAGCACCGAGTGCCACCACCGTCCCCTTGGCCATTCCCAGTGGGACACCAGGAAGGACCTCCAGCCCTGCATCCTTCAGCAAAGGCCCTGGAGCTCTCAGCAATCCATTTGGGGTGCCATAAGCTCCTCAAATCCCAGGGTGGGTGGATAGGTTTCCATGCCCATGGCCCTGCCTGGCACTGGGATGGGGCTTCCAGGGGTCCAGGTGTCACTTTTGTATGGATTCAAGTGCCTTTTAATAAATCAGAGACTTCCCAGTGCCTGCTTCTTGTACCTCCCTCCGGTGCTGCTGCAGAGGATGGTCCAGCTCTTGGCTCTACAGCTGCTCAGGAGCTCCTTGTGGCCATACAGGGGCTGTTTGTAGTGGGGGCTCATCCTGCCACATCCTGGGCTCTGGCAAACCCTCAGCAGCTATCAGCCCTGGTGTTGGCTGGGTTGGGGCCACGAAGGGAACAGAGCGCTGCTCACAGCTCAGACCCTCCCTGAGCTACAGAAGCCACCCATCACGTGGGGGTAAAAGTGTGGAACTGACAAGCAGCCATCATGCCAGGAACTGGGAATCGATGGGAATCCTTGCTAAACCCCCGTGGATTGACTGGGCCTGGATCAAGCATTGATCCTATGTCGATTAACCAATTAACAGCGATCTGGAATGAAGATATCAGGCTGGTGCCTCAGTGGAGGGACAGGAGGGGCAGCAGACACTGGAGCCTTGCAGAAAGAGACCCCCACCCCATGCAGGACACCCCCAGGACTGAGGAGCCTCATCCCACACTCTGGCCAAATGACACTGTTGGGATGAAGGATACGGTGCCAAGGATGCTGGCAGGAGCTGTGCTGAACCTCTGCTGCCTGTGCACACCTCACACACAGCCTGGAAAAATCCATATAGTGGGACAGAGCTGAGCACAGTGCCAAGGGAAGGAGGACGAGCTCCCGGCGTGCTCTGTCTTGCCCCTGTGGAACCAGGGCTCCCTGTACCTGCTCCGGCTGCTCCTGGGACTTGGCCCAGCGGGGAGGAGCCCCCTGCTCCCCCCCAGCAGCGGGAGCAGTTCCCAGCCTGGCCCCACAGCCTCGGGAAAGGACAGCTTTCTCCACTGACACACCTTGGCTGCCAACCGGTCGCTCCAGCTGCCCCGTGCTGGGAGCGGCCGTGACGTGGCCCCTTGTGCCAGGCCGGAGGCAGCTCCCGGATGCTTCCATGCAGGGAGGAGCTGCCACCAGGCTGCTGCCACATGGGCTGGGAGTAGCTCCTGAAGGCCATGAGTAGAGCCCCTGGATTGCCCTGAGTAGCCCCTGGATGACCACAAGTAGCCCCTTGAAAGCCATGAGTAGCCACTGAATGGCCATGAGTAGAGGCTCTGGATTGCCACAAGAAGCCTGCACAGGGTCACGGGTTGCTCACAGACAGCTATGAGTAGCCTCTAGATGACCACAAGTAGCCCTTGCTGGTCCTGAGTAGCTCACAGAGAACTGTCAGTAGCCCCTGGACGGCCACAAGGAGCCCCCTGGTTGGCTGTCAGTAGCCCCTGAGGGTCACAAGTAGCCCTGGGATGGGGCCGGATTGCCATGGTAGCCGCTGCATGACCCCAAGTAGCCACTGGATGGATACACGTAGCCCCTTTGAATGACCACAAGGAGCTCTTGGTTAGCTGTGAGTAGCCCCTGATGACCCTGAGTAGCCCACAGAAGGCTGTCAGTAGCCCCCAGAGCACTGCTGTCCTTGCACCGTAATCCTGACCCCACCAAGGCCCCACGTGGCCAAATCCAGGGCAATGTCACCCCCCAACCAGCCGTGTGCCAGCAAGTGCTGGCAGCTTCCCACCCTGCTCCCACCAGCCTTTGCTGCTCAGGAAACACCTAATTAGCTGCTCCTGCTAATTAACCCGAGTCCTCCCTCCCGCTCCCAACTGCTCCTTTCTGCAGAGGATACACAGCTGCTAATTAAAATCCCAAAGTCCTTTGGCTGGAGGAGCTGGCGGCTGCCAGGGCAGCAGGTTCCTGCACACGGGGTCAGAGAGCAGAAATGGGGGTCCCCAGGAGCGGACCCCTCCCCAGACAGAGCCCCCCACCCTTCCCTCTTCCCAGCGAAGCCCAGTGTGGTGCTGGGGGTGGGCAGAGGAGTCGGGGGAGCTCCCCTCGAGCCGCCGGGGTTGAGGCGGGGACACCACGCCGCAATTTAAAGGTTGTGTCGCCCACCCCACCCTGCCAATCCCTCTCCTCCTTCCCGGGAACCCGGCCAGCGGGATGGGATGAGGCTCCTCCAGCTCCCACCTGCCGGGGTGAGCCACATCTGAGCCGGGAATGCTCCACGGCCCGCTCCCGCATCCGACTCCAGAGCCAATTTCCAGGGAGCTCAGCGAGGGACAGGCAGGGCAGGACCGGCTGTGGGGGGGTTTCACTGCAGCCCCTCAGAGAACTGGGTCTGCATGGAGACCCTGCCCCACACAGAACCCCCCAAAC